TACAAATTTTTACTTTTAAAAAATTCAATTGCAGTTACATCGCCTACATTTTTACTCTAAACATCACTTTTTTAAATTCATGTTAACATACTTTCTCTTATTAACATCAAATGAATTTTGTTGCTGGTTAAATTAATATGTGCCCAAGATACTATTGTACTGAATACAAAGAGCAATCAAAAACATTTAAAAACTGCCATCATTGCATAAAAAACTGGTTTCATAAGAAGGATCAGGACAGCATATGTAAATACAATGAATGCAGCTATTGTTCTCTGTGGGATGTGTTAACTTTCTTCACAGGGGAATCTTCGTTGTCTCTTCAAGGCCACCGTCTCTGATGAAGACCATGCAGAATCGAGAAAACATGTCTCTTTCTTTCCACCATGATGCAATGCACACTTAAGCGATTTCATTTCCTGTCCTCCTAAATGCTCCCAAGTCAAGCGTCATCTCAGCTCAACTCTGAACATTCCTGTCTATTGTAATCATACAACTGTTTGTTTCTCTGTATATTGACACTGGATTTATTATTAAATGTGTGTGGTGTGTATGTGTATTGGAATTACATAGCCTAAGCATAATTTAGCTATGGAATTTTTGATAAACTAGCTAAGACTCAGCAACAGCTCTGGAGTCATACAGGCTTAAAAATGTATTAAAAATGAAATACAGTAAAAGCAACTTATACAAAATGGGTATAGTCTAAAGCTCTTCTCATGTGTGTACTGGGCCCAGAATGAAGTGCAAGCCAGCATAGTGTAAAACTATCATAACACTTGCATCATGGATTAAGAATGTTAACTGATCCATGTGAGCTTCTTGGTTGTTTTTCTTGGAGAAATGTCGCCCTCTGCTGTAATAATAATGACTATACGCTGTACCTATATTTTTGACATGTTCTTTACTATATTGAGAGTAAATGCAGCTGGAAAGACAGTGAAGCTTTCTTTTCTTTTCTTTTCTTGATTCATTTTATTTTATTTTACATTAAAAGTACACATATTGTGTATTTTTATGATAAATTATATTGTCATAGTCCTAGTCATACATTGACCCTACATCTCTTTCTATCTTAATATTAATATAAAATTTAGAAATGTCAATGTAAACATGATCAGCACATTTTAATAAAATAAAATAAACATATACATACATGCTTAAATTGTAGACATACATTCATCCACATACTACGGACATGCCTCTTTCTCTCTTAATATCAAAAGAGAAATTAGAAATGTTAATGTTAACATGATCAGCACATGCCTTTAAATTAAAATGTTTAAAATATCTTATTACATTAATATTATATTAATATTCACATATGAATATTAAATACATAGATATAATAAAATCATATGTATAATAAAAATGTATATATATATATATATATATATATATTATAAATAAATATAATAAAACAGTCACAAGGGTCTAAAGGGGCACTTTCTGTTTTATACTATTTCTGTCAAATGAGAAAAACAATATCAAAATGACCTTTAAATCTGAAATTAAAAACACGTTCGTCACGTTTACGCTCCGTAAGACTTTCACCAACAGTGTGGAAACGCCTTTTTCTTGCAGGAAGCATAGTGTGGTTACATTCGGTGACAGGACACTCAAATTTGTCGAACGGTTTTTAACTGCACGTGTCAGACAAAATGTAGCGCAAAGGGAAATGCCTCTGCTAACAATCCTAATTACCCAGCAGTCGCGAAACATGTCAATACGGCTCTGCGACATGTGATTCGCTCGAGTGTTTGTAAACATGCGTCAAAAGCATGTGATTCTGCTGACGACACACTGCGCTCAAGACGGACAGCCAATCAGAACACGGGGGTGTGTGCCCTGGGCGGGGCCTCGCTGTTGCGCTCTGGAAAATTCGATGTGCGCGGCATCAAGACACTTTATGATTGAAAAATGAAGTTCAAGCCGAGACATCGCCAACAGACAGAATAAAGACGTTTGTTCCGGTTAGTGAGAATGTTTTCTATTTAGTAAAGTTGTAAAGTCCTTCACATTGGGCGTTGCGTTATTCTAAATAATCCATCGCCAGGAAAAACATGCTGTTTTATGATTTGTGACAGATCGATGAACTTTTGTCTCACTGTGTTTGCGGTCTAATACGAGATTGATATATTTATTATTTGAAATATGCCATATATGTAGGTATTGAGCCCATTAAATCAGTCTCTCATGATGTCCATTTGATACATTATAAGGATGCTGTCCAATCATGCTTATTGAGATGCTCTAGAAATACCTAGACTAGTTATTGTCCTATAATATTGTCCTTAGTTAAATATACAGGTGAGTCTTAGAAAGAAGAAAAATCAAGGTGGGGATTGCAGGGAGGAGGAGGGTTTTCTGCTGCGACAAAGGTGTGCGTGCGTGCGTGCGTGTGTGGTTGGTCTAGACTACTTGGCGTGGCAAGGATAGGATGTTACGCAGTTCTTATTTACAACCCAGTGTGCTTTACCCTGACCCGTGGAATGTTTTCATCTCGAGCAGTCAGAATACCGTCTAACAGGTGAGCTCGGTTGTTTCTTCCACTGATTAAAGCATATAAAGTTTCCGCACAGACATCAGTCGATTAACCAAATAGTTGCTGTCCTGAGCTTCAAATAAACTCAGATTTGCATGAAAGGCATGTTCAGTCTTAGCTGATAATGCCTATTCATGATATTATATGACTGGGTTTATGTTGATTCTGCGGACCTTATTTACATTTCTGGATGTTCCGTGAGGTAAACACATGAGGTTTACACCCACTATCAGCCTTTTATTTATTAGCTAATGGTGTTTTTAGTCAAGTGCGCACCTTTTATTTCTGATGTAAACAAAGCTGGCATGTATTTTCCTCTGCCATTGGGCGGCGCTGTTTTGCGACTGACTGATCACATTAGGTTGCTTCAACCAGTCATTGTATTGAGCGGAGTTTATTTATTATTAAAAAAAAATTATAGTTTTATTTATTTAACATAAAAACGTTAAAAAAAAAAAGTTAACATTTAACTTATCTTAATTAAGGTTTATTTTAAGTAACTAAATGTATTTATTTTTAAATAAATCAAACCTTTTCATGTTTTGAAATAAAATAGTTCTAATTATTTTTAAATAATTTAAACAATTTTAATTTGATATTTATTTTAAATGTAAAATTGATTTACAGTTCACAGTAAATCACTTACTACTAGAAAGCATTGACTTTAAAACCGGACTGGTGACTGAATGGTTATAGGTTCAAATCCCACAAGATGATTCATCACTATTGTGCCACTGAATAAAGGCACCTAACCTCAGATTACTTTATAGGAAACAAATATATGTGACCCTGGACCACAAAACCAGTCATAAAGGGAATATGTATAAATAAATAAGCTTTCCATTGATGTATGGTTTGTTAGGTCAATATTTGGCTGAGATACAGCTATTTGAAAATCTGGAATCTGAAGGTGCAAAAAATCGCTTTTAAAGTTGTCCAAATTAAGTCCTTAGCATTGCATATTACTAATCAAAAATTAAGTTTAGATATATTTACGGTAGGAAATTTACAAAATATCTTTATGGAACATGATCTTTACTTAATATCCTAATTATTTTTGGCATAAAAGAAAAATCGATAATTTTGATCCATGCGATGTATTGTTGGCTATTGCTACAAATATACCCATGTTACTTATGACTGGTTTTGTGGTCCAGGGTCACATATGTGACATATATGACAAATCAGTACAATAATTACAGATACTATGCAAGAGAGTAGGATAAATCAGTGTTGTTAAAGCACACCAACAGGAAGTCATGTTTTAGAGTAATGTAACATTATTGTCGAATCATTTGAGAATACATCTGGCTCTAAGTGGTCCCAGGAATGATTCAATGCCAAAATTATTTGAGATTGGATAATGAATTGTATTTATTCATCAGACAAACTCAAACATGTCTCAGGAATGCTTGCACTCGCCATTGTTTAAAATGTGCTTTACTGTACATTCCTTGTGGATATTGATGAAATCTCTATAATGCAATTTTTACCCATTCCTTTTATATTTATTTTTGTTTTTTAGTGAATCTGGGATGACGTGCAACCACAACACTGCAAAGGTATGTGTACACATATTGGCAAACATCCTGAGATTATTTTTATATAAGTTATATGACAACGAACGTGCATTCACTTCTTGGGTATGGCACTATTGTGGCGTTCACAGTGGGAATCTGCAGTTTCATCCATCCAAGCTAAATAAGCAGAACAAGGTTAGCCATATTGCCATTTCTCTCCACCAAATGTAAATAATGGGAATTCACTTTCACCATGTATTAAAACCCCATACACTCCTTGATGGCATGAGCATCAGCTCCCTTTACTGGCATATATGCCAAGATCTTCATCTAATTTCTCTGATTTGCCAAGGTTTTATCTGAGCGAACACTTTGGCAGCTATTGAAAGTACGTCATTCAGGGTCAACGTGTAGTCAGTAGGCCAGGCTCCTCTACTGTTAGAGATTAAGCCTACAGGAACCAGACTACTATGTTGAGATGACACTGCTAAAAGTAACCCACTTGCTGCTAATGACGACTGCATTAATAGACAGACAGGAAGGATGCTAGTTAGCATGCACTGTTGCTGTATATCCTGTGTGAAATGATAAAGAGACAAACATGGTGCTATATCAGGCGTTAAAGGTCGGAAAGATGTAATGTTGAATTGATAAAGAGATAATGTTCTGTCTTGTGTCCAAAGCTTCTTGTTTAAAAAAAAAGCTCCCTCGTTTGATGTGTGTAGCCAATTCTGTCTGAGATTAAACTACATTGTTATTCTTCATTGGTTGGACCTTGGGGTAAAATGAAGTTAGACGAGTTCAAAGAGATGAAAGTAAGTTCAGTAATAAACCTCAAAGGTGATTGGATTGATTATTCTACATTTGAAACTGTGAACTAGTAAAATGATCAAACAAACAAATTGCAATTCAGTTTGGTGCCCAAAGTTTCCAGTGACAAGCGGTTTATGTTCAGACTGAATACAACATGACAGCCAATCTCAGCATAAAGGTGTGTTCAAAAAAAGGTCCATAGTCTATTGTCAATAGCATAGTGATGTATAAAGCACAGCTCACACAGTCACTTTCAAACCAAGCAGTTTTCTGTTGAACCGCAAATTCACAAACAACTTGAAAATGGGCAAAATCTGCACGAGCGAAACACCTGATCGTGTGGATTCTAATCGTTATGACTGGATTTTACTTGCAATTTTAAAATTGTCTGCCAAATGCTTAAAAATATAATGTCAAATGTCTGTTGTAGTCGCGGCCAGTTATAACATTCTTTTTTTTTTTTTTAGATATATTTTTTTGCATTTTTGCCTTTATTGTGACAGGACAGTATTTAGACAGAAAGCGAGGACTCAAACTCGGGACGCCCGAAGCACAATGGCACTATATGTCTGCGCACTGCCCATGAGGCTGTTGGCGCCGACAAGTTATAAGATTCGGTAACACTTTACTTAAAGCCTTTATGTATAATGCATTATAAAAGTAGTTTTAATGCATTCATTATGCCTTGCAATGCACCTTATAATGCATTGTACAATTTCATGAATAATTGTGTAACTACGCTAATACATTATAACACTTTTCAATTCATTGTTACACTATGCATTTTAAATTCAGTTATAATTTTTTACGATACGTTATAATGTATTACAATGCACATTATTAATAATTATAATGCATTATACCCTCTAATAAGATTCTTTATAACTTTTTTTTGTTGTCGCAACTGGATCCTTGGTGTAAGAGGTCATTTTATTAATACCACAATCTTCTATTTTCTTCAATGACATATTTAGCTGATAATTTGATGTGTAGGCCTACATCTAGTCAGCAGAGAAGTTGTTCTTCTAACAAAATATTAACAGGTTCATATAATATTTTTTATCAGGATTTAGTGATTTATTAATCAGTTTGACCTCCTGTTACTTCATTTTACTCCTATTTTTTTTTCAATGACATTTAGCTGGCATAATGTGTAATGTAGGAACAGATTAGGAAACTAGTTCCTTTTATTGATTCTGAAATAAAAAATCTCCCATTTCTGGTATTATTTACTGCCTGAACTAATGCAGTGCATCTCCGCATTTACTGCTTCATGATATTTATAATGGTTCACATCAAATTGATAAATGCTGAGGAAGTCGTCCCAGCCATCAGCTCAACAGATACTCTCATAACTGTAAATGTTACATAATAGCTGTCCTGATATACCCGGACAAATAGATTGAAGCACAGCTTGGGTAAAATGCACTGTGAATTGTGACTAGGTTTAATTTGCGTTTAGAAAAGCAATCCAGCATACAGATGGATGAACATTTATTTCTGTCTCAAACAACCAGTTGGTTCCAGTTCATTGTAGAGTCTATTTTCCATAGGTCTCTATATCCTTGCATACTTAACATGCCTTAATCAATACACAGTTGACATTGTTCCAAGTTGTAATGCGATGAGAGGTGTTTCAAAAAGCCATTAGGGAGACATAGAAGCGCCTTCTTCTAGGCGTGAAGCAGATATTTGATTACTTGAAGACAAATGTTATTAAAGATACATCAAAGTAACATCATGCTTCATAGTGTAGCATTTCATACTGTGTTCATCTCCCAATTTAAGATAAACTGGAGCAGAGAGGAGGATTATCATTAGACTGCGGGTTGCCGAGCACCCTGCCAGCTGACCTACCTCACTTCCCCACCTAGATTGAGATGTCATACGGAGGAGCATGCTGGGAATTGTGGTCTGTGTTAAAGTGTGTCAGGCTACTCTGAGCATAGAGCAATTTTAGCCATGTCTTCTTATGTTATTGTTATGTATGTGTATGAAGATATTTAGAGAAGCAGCATCAAATTTTTATAGAATTTAGAAATGTATGAATCAGTTTGACCTCCTGTCTGCATTTTATTTTATTTAGCTATTAATTCATTAATTAATTAGTTAATTAATTTTTAATAAAATTTTGCTTTGCTTTGCTTCATTTTATTTATTACATTTTATTTTCTTCTATTTTAATAATGTATTTATTCATTAATTTCACAATTTACATTTTTTTTATTTAAATAAGTGTTTTTTTTTCCTAATGTGATTTTCAAGGTTTACCCTCCCTTTTTCCTCATGCATCACTTCAGTTTTGAATATGGTGACATAATCCATGTTGTTCTGCCGTCTGTCTCCATGGTTACAGATCTGTAGTCACAAAACAGGAAGAGGAAGTCTATGAGCCACTGAAGTGCCTTCCCATGATTCTACAGTCCCTCTTGTTTTCTTTTAATCATAAAGTCCTTTATCATATCTTACCCTGCGTGTCCATTTCTCTCATCTGTCCGAACGTTGGAATGACGTTACCTTATTAGTCACGTCATTTGTGATGTTCATAGATTCAAGATTCTTTCCGTCCCTGCCCATATTATCTGATTTAGCTGTCCTCCAACAGCCTGGATATTTTAAACAGGCCAAGCAAATAGGCCGAGATTAAAAACACGAGAAACAAAACAGCCCAGTTGTTACATAACTGAAGCAGAGCTCTACGATGTGCCTTTAAAAGCTGCAGGCTGTCAGGTGATCACAGGGGCGCCGTCATCTCAGTTCACCGAGACACCATAGACGCAGATGAGACACCGAAGATATAAAAGAGGGGGGCTGACGGGTTTCTCTAAACAGTTAGAGGAGGACAGAGGGGAGAGGAGGACACCAGATAGACAGGAAAAGAAAGAAGCCAACTGTAATCAAAGTGTCTCTGGCTCTCCGTCTCTCACTTTCCCACTCGTTATGTGGATTTCGAGACGCTGCGTTTATGTGGTCATAACACAGAGCGAAAAAGACCCAAGAATTAAGTGCTGCGTCACAATGAGCAAGAGAGGCAAACTGAGGGAGAAGGAGACAGAGGGATCGTGGGAGCATTTGCGGCAACTATCTGTCTGGGTGATCACAATGAGCGTGTTTGTATGCATCTATTAGCGATCTATTTATGTAGACATGTGTCTGTCTGAAAAAAACAGCAGCAATTCTGCTGTTGCAACAAGATGAAAATAGAGCGAGCAGGAGAGGGTGGAGGTCTGGTGGAGAGAGGGAGGGAGGAAGCGAGAGAGAGAGCGGGAGAAAGAGATTTTGGATTAGTTGCTACGTCACTTTTTCACGTCGAGAAGAAAACATCAGCTAGGATTCGGACATGTGTGCTTTTCTCCTACCTGTGAGTTTATCCCAGCTCTTTCGTCTGCTCGTCCGCCTTTCATCCTCCTCTTCTCCATCTCTTTTTCTCTCCCACTTTCACTCTCATTTCACGTTTCAGTCCGTTTCTCCACAATCGCAGCTCCAACCATGGATGCTGAGAACGTGATAAGAGTTTCTCGGATTGTGTGCGCAGAGGTTCGGTGCGTGTCGACGTTTGATGGGTGTGTAACGGCGTCGCAAGGCGGCAAAAATACGGTTAACAAAAAACGATAACAAAACAAATGCTGCTTTCGAAGGTTCTTGTGAGAAATAGTTCATATAAATAAAAATTTTTTGCCTGTTATTCGAACCACATCGGATACCGCAAGGGTCCATACCGTAATCGCAATATGCATAATTACGGTTGATACTGATACCGATATATACGTTACAACACATTTTTTCTGGCTCCTCTTTACAGGTAAGTCAAATACAGCAAGCTAGTCACTGTCAGTCTGACCTGAGATCAGTCTCTGGATTTTTAAGACATCAGGAGAGGCGACTTAGACGTTACTTTATGGCATTTTGAGGATGAGTAGAAGAGCAGGTGCCTCGGCTAAATTTGTGATCTCTCTGAGACGAGGGCAGACGCCGCATTTCCATCAACAACATTTGTTTGTGCAGAGTTTACTAGAAACACAAGTGGTGACGCAGTCATATTTGCAGCACTTTCTTTTCGGTGCGTGACTGTTTTCACTTCTCTCCCTGTGTCTCAACTTCAATACAGGGGTTAAATTGCGTCCTGAGGAGGGTTACGTTGATGAAAAGGGTCTAAATGTCATGGGAGGGAACCGGGGAAAGGACTAGAATGAGAGGGAGAGGGAGTGAGAGAGAGAAATTGTTTACCTTGCTCTCTTGGTGACTGTGCATTGGCAGGCATCCAGTTCACATGCGCTAGACTTCCTAATGCAGCCGCATCAGAGAGATGAGTGACAGAGCTCTGCTCCTATCAGGCGCTGGCTGGTGCTTCCCACTTTTTTGGCAGCTCCAAATACCATTGGATTAGCCCTGGAAAGCAGCTGGAGGGATTAATCTGATTGGCTGCGAGGTAATGTCAGTACTCTGTTACGGTAGAGTGTTGTTGTTTTAGAGAGATGTTACTTGGTAGAACCTCACTATGGAAAAATGTCATTTAAAGGGATAATCCACCCAAAAATGAACAATCAGTCATCGTTTATTCACTCGCACTTCTGTGTCTTTTTTCTTCTGTGAAAAACAAAAGGAGATATTTTGTAGAATGTCTCTGTTGTCCATACACTGAAAGTCAATGGGGTCCAATTTAGTTTGTTCCCCAATGTTGTTTAAAATATCTTACAACATCAGGGTGGGTAAATTATTTTAATGCAGTTTAAAGGGATACATGTCATTAATTCACCATCTTGTCGTTCCAAAAAGTTTCGGTTCCCATTGACTTTCATTGGCATTTGCTGTTTTGTTATATCAAATGATTGTATGATTAGAATTGTCTTCTTTTTTTGTTGTTTGTTTGATTTTGACTTTTTTTAACACTTCTGATTTGATCAGTTGATTGGATGCCGTCATCCTCTGCTAGTTGACCACCAAGCTTCCTGTTTAGACAAACAGTGTCAAAACAGCATCTTGCCATTGCAAGTTTGTTACGTGCATGCGATTTGTTCTATTAGGGAGACGGTCCTGTCCTAAAACCTGTTGCGTGTCGAGCAGTGTTGTCCCCAGGTTACGTCCGAGTGTGTGTGTGTGTGTGAGGCAGAGGCCTGCACTGCAGCTGTTAATGCTGCATTAGACGCCACAGACCGGAGCTCTGGCAAACGTTGGTGGCACCAGAGGGCCGGAGGGGATTGCATCCCCGTCTACCTCATCCTCCCTATATCACGTGGGTGGGGCGTTTTTTGTGGATGAAGCTCGCCACATGGCGGAGTTAACCTACGGGTGTCTGGGCCGAGGATCGGGCTGTGACGCAGATTGTAACTTGGGCTATTTTTCACTGATATTCAGCTTGGTATTGTAGCTCCCCGTGATATCGATATCAGTGTAGGCCCTTTTCTTTCAGAAACTCATCTTGAATTTTTGCTGATATTGTCATGGAGCAAAACAAACAGAAAAATATATTTTCAAGTGAATGTGTAGAAGAAACTTGTCACTAAATTGTAATTGAGCTTTCATTTTTGAAAGCTGTTGTTGTTCTGTGTTTTTGTAAGTTTTCCAGACAATATAGGATTGTATGTATAGAATTATTATTTATTTGTTTGTTTGATTGATTACTATACAACATAATGTCTATTTAGTGGGCCCAAAAGTATTTGGACATTTTTAGACATATAAAAATTACACGTACAAATTAAATTAAATTAAATTAATGTAAATATATAAATAGTTTTAATTAAATTGAATAAATGTACACATTTATTCAAACCATGGGGCATCTGTTATCAAACCAAGGGAAAAGGATATTTAATGCAATGAAATTCATCATTTAAAAAAAAAAAAAAGTAATTAAAGTGTCCAAATATTGTTTTGGATTTATTTATTTATTTATTTATGAAATCAATAATTTTGAACTATTTCAAAATTATACATATATTTACATATGACATATATTTATTTAATAATTTATTTATTAATTAAAAATAAATACTTTTATTAAAAATGTTAATTATATATATATACACAGTATATATATATATATTCATTTTGATAAACTCTTGATTTTTTCATTATTTATTTGCTTATTTCATTTTATTTATCATTTTTTAGTCATCAGAAAAACAAAGCTGCCCCCTTAAAGTCTTTTATAAATATTGCACAACAGGCCAAAGTCAAACAAACAGCCAGAAGAAAGTGAGAGGGGCAACCAGATACCTCTAAACAGCAACTGTCGCCATGCTTCTCTCCTCTCGGCCGGGAAACTCCCACGAGTTCTGTCCTATCAGTCAGATAAGGGTTACCGAGCTCCTGGGGCATGTTTCAGCTCTGCCGTATGGCTCAAAACAAACACGCAGTGCAGTCGTTAAGCAAACTTAAGAAGGCAGAAAAGATATTTTGACATCCATGAATTGCTTTACTGAATCTCTCTTAATCAGTCTGCAGGAATCGACATTTAAAAACATAGGACTTACAAAAAAAAAAAAAAAAAAAAATGGGAGGAAGGTGTAATAAATTTAAGGATATATGTCAGGTGAGTGGGATGTTTATCTGCTGAGACTTTGGCTCTGAGAACACTGATATGTAAAGAACAAAAAACCTTGGTAAAACGTCAGTCTACAGGGCAGTACCTGCCGCCACACCCTCGCCGAGTGCTGGCATCAGGAATCTCCCTTCCAGATTTCTCCATTTCCTGCGCTCACTTCATTCTGAGAGACTGCGGCGGCGGTGGAGGCAGCAAAACAGAGAGTAACAGCCTAAATCAACCTCTCCTCTATACTAGACACGCTCGACTATATGCCACAGGTCTAGTGAGTACTTGTCATCTACATTTTTATTTGATTCAAATTGATTTTACTCAGTGTCTTTCTATCAGTTGTAAAAGCCAAACGAATGGCATTTTGATACACTAGGTTGAATGCAATGAGCTTTGGTCATATATTCTGACCTGCTTTTGCTCTTGAATTCTTCCTGGTTTGACTGCGTAGGTGCTGCTTCACATTCCCTGCCACTGAGTGACAGATGAAACTGCTCTCAGTATACAGGGCGTTCTCTAGAGCCGTGGTGCTCGACTGGTTTCACATCAGGACTTAGTTACAACCTGCATGAAAGTAAACAAAAAATGACAGTCTTTTTGCATATTGTATATTGTAACATTATATATTGTATATATAATATTATATATATATGTGTGTGTATATATATATATATATATAATTTATTTATTCTTTTGCTGCTGACACAGGCTGGATTCAAGTCAAATTTTACTTTGGTGAAAATTCATCTTGTAGAAGCTAGTCAAATCTAGTACAGTGATTCTTAACTATAGAAAAAACAAAGCTATACATACATAGGCTACATTATTTATATATATCACTGTATATAAGGATCACTGTACTAGAGCACTGAAGGAGAGCTATTTGTAAACGTCAGATATCAATATTCAAGTTAGTATTCTCATTCGCGTAGTTATAGGTTAACACAAGAAATACAATATGTTTCAGTTTGTAAAGTGGCTGTAGCTATAGAGACGGAGGCAGGGATTGGTCTCCTTTGGGTTTGAAACTATACATACTTTCTGTATGCTCGCAATTTTCCACTTAAAGCCCACAAACACAGGCTGTTCACAGTTTTTCATCCATGCCAGATTTGCTTAGTCAGATTGCAAATCAGCATTGTCTCATGTATAATTATTCACTGGCACTATGCCACTGCATTTGCTTGTTATGAGTGTCGTATCTAGCGCTTATGAAACCACATTATCCTTTATCCTCGGATCGATATTTCTTCAAATTATATTGCAAAAAAAGCAATTTAAATTTAATTTAAAATTTAAAAAAGTTACGCAACGTTTCCTTCTGCGCATTTAATGTTTATAAAGATTATCTCTTTGGATTTGAGACTTTAGTCTTTGCAACTTTACAGATCTTCTTTATGCACCAAGAGCTTGTAACACTCCAAAGAGAAAGGAAAAATTTAAATAGCATCATATGACCCCTTTAAAGCAAGCGACCAAGTGGAAGACGATGTGCAAGATGGAAGTAGCCTGTGTGTGCTCTTCCTGATTGTGTTTTGTAGGTTTGCAGAGTAGACTAATAATCTTGATTATTCTCTGTGAAAGAAGTCTAGCCGTGTTGGGTTTCCTGCCAGAATTGGAGGTGTGGGCTTTTCTCATCTTGTTTTGTTGTCTTTGTGGTTTGAGGTGTGAATCTGTCACGAGGATTGAGTTTTGAGTAGCTGCTCTTTAATAAAAGCTAAGAATAGTGAGTTAATAGAGATTAGCTGGTTAACATTGGTGGTTACTGTAGCTTCTGCTGGTACTATAGGCCATATGCGTGACTACACCGTTCCTTTGACAGCCATTCAGAAGTCAATTCTAAGGCAAATTGGAAATATTTATTTACTGTATAGCTTTTTTATTGCTCCTGAGCAGGATAGTCACTAGTGAAGGGCTTGTTCTTGTGGTGTCATCGGCCAATCAGCATTGTCAGGATGATATTTTCCTCCAGCTTCAGAGGGATTCGTCACATAGCATTTAAAGCTCAGAAAACCTTAGCATTTTGTTGTTTTGGTTTCCAGGCTCTTGATCCAGTGACAGCTCTGCTAAATCCCAAAGCTGTATCTGCCAGCAGTGTGGTATATTAATGGAGAAGTGGAAGACGTTTCTTTCAACATTGATTTCTGCACTGTGTACTGCCTGAGGTCAAAATTTTACAAATATGTGACTTAATATTGTGTTTTCTATCTTTTGTCTAAAGCCCTGCCATCTGAGGAGTGACGCTGAGTTGTGTTTCAGCACCAGACGTCAAAGGTTGACCGTGTCTCCTCCTGGAAGCTGGTTTCAAGTGGTGTCTTAGAGTGCTGATGAAATGAATCTAGCACCATTTGAAATCAGTGTTCTTGGGGTGGGAAATGCAGCACTTTCTAACTGGACAACTGACAACATTCATGCTTTACACTTTGTAAACACACCTTATGATTGACTTCAAGACATGTCCTGTAACCAAGGTTGACTGATTTCTTTTGGTGTTCAGAGTCTTTTGGAGTTTCTAGCACCATTTGAAATCGGTTACAATGAAGGACAGATGACGCCGCTGGAGCACAGAAGTCATTTCATCGTCTGTAAATATTGAGTGAATACAATAACTCAAAACAAATCAGCAAGATAACAACATCAAAACATTTTATTAAAAATGTACAATATAAAAAAAATGATTATTCTTGTGCAATTATATACAACACATGTGATAAATAAAGTTATGCAACAAATTTTACAGGTAAAAACAAAAAGTGACAAGTCCTTAAAGCAGCACTATGTAACTTTTTCTGTGTTCAAAATTTCCAAAATGTATATAATGAGCGAGTACATCATGATTTCATCTTCCAAACCGCGTTTTTGTCTTATTCCGAATCACTTTGGTACACTTATAATAAGTACTTATATTTGGACTATTGTAGCCTGGTCGGGTCGTCACCGCTGCGGAGTAACACATACCTGCGTGAATCGCCATAGACATAAACTTAGAGAAGTAGCTCCGGTTGGAATGTTCTTCCGCGGGATGTGTGCAGTTCTGTTTATTAACCGCTAGAGCGCCAAAAGTTACATAGTGCTGCTTTAAGTGTATGAAGTTAGACAGGTGATAACCTGTTACAATACCATAAAGTACCACTAGATGGCATGCTTGTTTATATCTTGTGGTCAAACTCTGTTATACTGGAGAATTAGCTAAAACTAGCATCTGAATACAGTAGGTGATGTGCCATTTCAGTCTTTCAGGGTTGCACTGATCTGTACTTTTTTCTTCTTTTTTTTCATGCTGCACATTTTTACAGAAACCTAAACAGCTCTATCAAGAAAGTCAACTCTTTCAGCATCTGACATAGTGCGTGTTTTCATTTAAAATGCACATAAAACATATCATTTATTTAGCAGGATACTCACAATATTATATACAGCTGTACATCACTTCTAAGTATTTATGGACATCCGGACATGGATCAGAGAAGAATGAAGCATTTGAGGCATTTAATTGACAAGACTTCTTCCCATTGCACCTGATAAGGTCAAAGAAAGATTTTAATTACGTGTTTACTTTATGCTGATGTTTTATTATTTATTATGCTGATATTGCTTAATTATGCTGATTGTTTATCTTTTATCACTCTGCAGTCTTTTTTTTTTTGCTCATAATTAAATAATCTAATCGCAAATCAATAGTTTTATTATGTTTATTTGTTAAGTAGCTGTTTAATTCGTGGTATAATGACGGTCTAAATGTACATTATCCCTTATTATTTTGTGTACTGGTTCAAAAATAGATAGGATTGAACGTTTATGTTGGCTTGTGATCTAATAGTGTATCTAGTACCTGGAACGCAGGTTGCGGGTCTGAGGAGAGTAACAGTCTGGTGTTGTAGCTAATTTATTAGGACAGGTTACAAGATCCCGCCGTCCATAATTGGCTTGATGAATCCAAATCACACCATTACCTTTAGAGACATTAAAAAAAAAGGGATGTGTGACATTCTTAAGGTATATTAGCAGACATTTAGCTAATGTCCTGTTTTGGCAGAGATAGGTAAACACAGGAAAGAAAAATAACCAGTTTAAAGTGAATCGGTGTGACGACAATGCACTAGAGCTTCATAAAGCCCTTGTGGAAGGAAAGCAGGCCCATAGATTACAGATGATTGCTATGCCCACGTTTTTCTGGATCGATAACAACATAGAAATGAACAGATGTATCTTACCACAGTCAATGAGACTTTGGCTGCCTTCACACGTGACACTTTTTCCTATAATTATGTTGGAGAAACAACAATAGGAACATAGGTCAGTAATAAGTAACAACCAATTCAAGGTGACTTGTGGAAGGAAAGCAGGCCCATAGATTACAGATGATTGCTATGCCCACGTTTTTCTGGATCGATAACAACAGAAATGAACAGATGTATCTTACCACAGTCAATGAGACTTTGGCTGCCTTCACACGTGACACTTTTTCCTAGAATTATGTTGGAGAAACAACAATAGGAACATAGGTCAGTAATAAGTAACAACCAATTCAAGGTGAAAAAAAGCTTTCAAAATGGTTAGTTTAGTACTTTATTCAGCCAGGACACATTAATTACAAAACAGTTTCCACAAAAATATTAAGCAGAACAACTTTTTTAACATAAATAAGGATAAGAAATGTTTCATGAGCAGCAAATCGGCATATTACAATGATTTCTGAAGGATCATGTGACACTGAAGACTGAAGTAATGGCTGCTGAAAATGTAGCTTTGCCATCACAGCAATAAATTATGCATCAAAACAAAACAGTCATTTTAAATTGTAATATTTCACAATATTACAGTTTTACTGTAACAAAATAAATGCAGCCTTGGTGAGCAAAAGAGACTTCTTTCAAAAACATCTTACCCACCCCAATTTTTGAATGATAGTGTGTATCAGTTACTGACTTACTAAATGGGAGACACAAACAGGAGACATCCAGGTATTTATGAGTCCCAACACAAGGGTCAGAGAAAACAGAGTTCACTGCAGAAACAGAGCAGCTCTTTCTTCCATCACATCTATATGAACACACACAAAACAGTTTTGAGAAGAACTGCAATTGCATCTACTGTTTAATACAGTGCTGTTGTTTCATTTGCTCTTAAAGAAGTGATTACCGTTTGGACATCACATGGACGGATGTCTCTTGGAAGCAGTCGACGTTTGAGAGCTGATGAAGTGATCTTCCAGTGGAGCATGTTGTGTGGTCGGTTCGCCCATAGTTGGCTGTAATCACCTTTATGTATCCCCAATCTGACACATGAAACAACTCACCATAAGAATCGTTGTGAATTTTAAAAGTATGTGTGAATGTTGATTACTCACCACAGCTGAGTGGAACAGAGCCACCTTCACACGAGAAATATCTTTTTGTGTCAACACCTGGAGAAAGAAAAGCTGTTTAGGATGACGTAAAGTACAGCTACTTATTAAAAAGCAATATTTCTGGGATTGTTTTGGATTGAAATGTATTTCATATATGCTGCATTTTTTAGCAAAACAACTCCATAAGGCCTTACCTTGTCGACACGTGTAAAATTAGCACTGCAAAATCAAAGAGAAAACATTGTAAACATCTGTATATAACATTTTCAAATATGTCAAATTCTCATTGCAAGTCAATTAAATATATAAATGACATAAACTGACTTGCAGGAGATCCAGTTTAGATTTTGTGGCAGCATGTTGATATGTTTGAACACAAGGAAGTAACCTTACTATTTATAGAGATTATGAGTATAAAAATGAACAACATTTCACTTATGTGTGTCAAGCTCACTGTCAAAGTCTAATTGGCTCCAAATCAAAACATGCTAAATGTGTTATTTTGTATTTTCTGAAGAAAAAGCCTGGTGTTGTGATGTTGACCTAGTAAGTATGCTATTACCTAATGCTAATTTACAGTAGATATTTGTTTGGCCATACATTTGAAATGTTGTATGACCGAGTAACCTCAGATTTTATGTCCTCATGATGAGTATTGAGCAATCTTGATTATTTATCTGCATATGTTTTGATCATTGACTTTAAACATTTACTGTTTGGGGGTGATGATAAAAACAGCCTACTCAAAAAAACAGATGCACACTTTTTATTAGTATGCTTCTGCTGTATTACTGTACTGTATAAGTACTGTGGTTACTTATACCGAGTCTGTCAGAAATACAAACTTTAGATTTTCAAACATTAATTTTGCAAATATAGTAATAATTTTGTGTGAATTATGTATGAACAAAGAAAAAAAGCTGCTTCCCAGCTACTCTTCATCACAGTTTTAAGGTTGGTTGCAGTTTTGCAGCATATTATTATGGTTTACAACAAATCACAGGGGAGTGAATGAATATTCTCAGACCAAAGATAAGATTAGCAGCATCTTTTAAAAAATGTTCCTAAAGGTTTTTTTTTTTTTATAATACTTTTTTTTTCTTATTCCGAGGTCACCGTAGCCAACAGATCCAGCCTGCGTCCCAATGTGATTTTAGTTATTTTCAATACTATTTAGGGCAGATAGGGTGGCTAGCATGCACATTGGGACGCAGGGCCAGTCTGTATCCAGATCAGATGGTTACTGCAGTCACCCGGATCCAGTCCGTATCCAGCCACTGCCACCCGCTTCATATGTTATCACTCGATTGAATAGTAGTGGTGGGCAGAGCGAGGCTTCGTGAAACACTGAAACAGTCGAAGCAAATGTGCCGAGGCTTCGAAACAATTCAACACCCGTCACTACGGTGACACCTAGTCAAAGACTATAGAATTTTTGATTCATAAATTCATCAGATGTTAATTACAAAGTGTGTAATACCTGCTTTGAGTTACAATTTACACTTAAAATATAAATGAAAAAATTTAATTCAGTCTTTAAACAACTGAAAAAGTGGAGTACCTTAAGTCTTAGTTTCTTGAACTATACTGTATATTGATTAGCCCCCTTAAGTTTAACTAATTAGCTCATTATCAGGTACAATAAAGATGGAATCAAATGAAATCAGCATTTGCAGTCACTAAATTACAGCCAGATATTTAAAAGTTTGTAGAGAGACAAGACACAAGATGATGATTCAAGAATGTATATTTATATACTAATTTTTGCAATAACACATAAAACAACATCATAAAAAAAGACCCCCTTTTCCATCAGTTGCTGCATGGACAGAAAGGCTGTAGGCTTCAACACCTGAGAGAGATAAAGAGAGAGAGAGAGAGAGAGAGAGGGAGAATTAAATAAGAAACATTTGCTTTAACTTTTAACTGTAATATATATTTCTGATTTAACACTTATGCACTGTTGGGGTTGTAGAGAGAGAGAACCCCAAACAGAATAATCATGTTACTGACATCTAACTCCAAACTCCAAATGTAAGTATATAAGAGCAAAACCCACAAACTGAATGTTCTCTCTTCTTTCCTCAATTGTTTGTCAATCCGGTAACACTTTCTATGAAGCCTGTATTTATAATACATTATAAGGGTTTTCTTAAGGCATTATAATTAATGCATAAAGCATTATAAAAAAGCTTAATAATATGTTGTATCATCTCATAAATAATCATAACAATTATAATACATTATAATACTTACGCATTTGTGGTTATAACTTTTAAGAGTATGATTACGTATAACACACAATGAATACCATAATAAATCCACTTAATTTATAATGGATTATCTTGACATTGTTTATTTAAGATCTGGACAGTATCTTACTACATCTTGTGAGTGGTTAGGAGTGGTTGAGTGTTGTTTTGAGTGTTTCCTGTGAGGTTAATATTAATTTTGCTGTGAGCTAGTTTAAGACCAGTTGTAATACTTTCAAATGAAAAAAATGCAACGTGTGTTTTTTTATTAGATTACATTTTATTTTGATGGTCCCCTTTAGTCTATTGACTATAAACAACTTTGCAACTACATCAACTAACTCTCATTAGAGTATTAGTAGGCTTAGTTAAGGTTAGGGTTGGTAGAATAAATTGATGTACTTGCAAAGTTGCTTATAGTGAGTAGAATATCTGTTGGGGTAGCTCATTATCAGGTATAATAAAGATGGAATCAAATGAAATCAGCATTTGCAGTCACTAAATTACAGCCAGATATTTAAAAGTTTGTAGAGAGGCAAGACACAAGAATGATTCAAGGATGCATATTTATATACTGTATATACTCATTTTTGCAATAACACCATACAACATCATAAAAAAAGACCCCCTTTTCCATCAGTTGCTGCATGGACAGAAAGGCTGTGGGCTTCAACTCCTAAGAGAGATAAAGAGAGAGAGAGAGGGAGGGAGAATTAAATAAGAAACATTTGCTTTAACATGTTTAAAACTGTAATATATATTTCTGATTTAACACTTATGCACTGTTGGGGTTGTAGAGAGAGAGAACCAAACAGAATAATCATGTTACTGACATCTAACTCCAAACTCTAAACGCCAAATTTAAGTATAACCACCAAATGAATGTTCTCCCTTCTTTCCTCAATTGTTTGTCAATCCAGTAACACTTTCTATGAAGCCTGTATTTATAATGCATTATAAGGGTTTTCTTAAGGCATTATAATTAATGCATAAAGCATTATAAAAAACCTTAATAATATGTTGTATCATCTCATAAATAATCATAACAATTATAATACATTATAATACTTACGCATTTCTGGTTATAACTTTTAAGAGTATGATTACGTATAACACACAATGAATACCATAATAAATCCACTTAATTTATCATGGATTATCTTGACATTGTTTATTTAAAATCTGGACAGTATCTTACTACATCTTGTGAGTGGTTAGGAGTGGTTGAGTGTTGCTTTGAGTGTTTCCTGTGAGGTTAATATTAATTTTGCTGTAAGCTAGTTTAAGATCAGTTATAATACTTTCAAATGAAAAATGCAATGTATGTTTTTTTTAAAAATTAGATTACATTTTATTTTGATGGTCCCCTTTAGTCTATTGACTATAGGCAACTTCGCAACTACATGTCAACTAACACGCTTTAGAGTATTGGTAGGCTTAGGTTAAGGTTGGTTGAATAAGTTAATGTACTTGCAAAGTTGCTTATAGTCAGTAGAATGTCTGTTGTGGAACCATCAAGTGTAAGCAGATATTTAGCATACAGTCTACTAATACTCTAATGACTGCTAGTTGACATGTAGTTGCAGAGTTACTTATCAACAGTTGTCTAAAGGGTACCATCAAAATAATCAAATTGATATTACAATAAAAATTGTTCAAAAGTAAAAATGTACACATTCATCTGATCTGATATCTGATCTTATGGCTGTTTGAGTTGCTGTTTATGTTGTTATTATTATTTTTTATTTTTTTTTGTATTATTATTTATAAGTGGTCTTTGTCTGCTTTAAGTACAGTGAAGTTAATTCACTTAAAGCAGACAAAAAACACTTATAAATAATAACACCACATTAAAGCATTTTGGAATGTTTTCATGAAGACTTTGTATTTGTTATTTTACAGTAAAAACACTAATAAGATGTACTAAGTTATTGTGCAGATCTTAAACAATGGCAAGATATTAGACCTATAATACATTATAACAATGAGAAATATAATCCATTGTAACTTAAGTGGATGCAATGTGTTCATTGTGTGTTATAAATCATCATACACTTAACCACAAATAAGTATTATAATACATTAAAACTGTTCTTATGATTATTTATAAGATGATGCAACATATAAGGTTTCTTATAATGCATTATTCAGTCCTCATAATGCTTTAAGAAAATAATGTATTATAAATACAGGCTTCATAGAAAGTGTTACCATCAATCCTTCTATTTAAATCTTCAAGTTCACTGAAATAGTTATCAGAGAACAATCACTGTTGGGTTAATAGAAATATCAGGAACAAAAGGGTGCACTGGGCATTGTGCAAAAAATAATTCATATTCTACTCTGACCTGTAATGATAATCCGGACCAGAAAGGAAGAACTGCTCAGCCTCCAGCAAGGAGAATTTCCATAGGACAGCCAGGGCATATATGATGGCCTATCAAAAAAACAGTAAATTTAAGTATACTATTATAGCACTACTGAACAGCAAGCCATTATACATGGATACATACATGTATATAGTAGCACCAGCATGCAGTTAATACAGTAGATTTTGTAAGTGCAGGAGCAGGACACACACAAACACATTACATGTTCCGGTATACCTCTGGAAAAAGAACACCACAGATGAACTGCACTTCATCTGTGAAGCTCAGTTGTGTTGGTGTCCTATGCAGTGCTCCTCTCAGACAGGCAAAAAGGATGTCTTCTTATTCCTATCTGTCAAGGTAGACAGGCACCCAGGAAGAGGTTAGCTTATAAAACCACTTAGAGGGCTTCCCGTTGAGTACACCCTATGGGCAAACCATGGTGCAAAAACTTTAAAAATTAAAAATTTATACATTTAAGATAAAGATACAATAATTTCCAGCATAGTTAAAAGATACTGTTAATGTTATTCCTAATTAAGGCCCTTGGTGAACCTTTACTATGAGTTTGTTTGTAATGATGATTAAATGTGAACATTGTTAAAGTACCACCAAATACTCCTCAGATCCCTGCAACTTTACAATGAAGTCCACCAGTCTCTTTTCCTCTGCGGTGCGGTCATCGACAGCCTGAATGTGGATTTCCTCAGAGATAGCACTCTGTACACTGGCTGAAGAGTTCCTTGAAGCAAGATTCTGGCCACATCAGTCCAGAAGGTAAACCGCTGACCATGCCTTTCAAACATCAACAAGATTAATCCAAAGTACTGCCAAAACGACAGGCTAATAACACATATTGTGGTGCAACCAAGCAGTGAGCCTTTAATTATGAAAGATGATTTATACTTAACTAATATGGTAAAACAATGAGTATCAAACAAGTTTTCACGCTAATACAGTAGGCTACAAGTAAATATCATTGCAGATGCTTTTATCATCTTTTTAAGTTTAATTAATGTGCTGGCTAGATTTACTTATTATAGTCATTATGTCAACAAGGTTCAGCCTAATTTAATCATGGCCACGAATTAAGAACGTCGTAATAATCAATAAAACTAGCAATAGGGAATTAATTATTATTTCTTAGCAGTTCTCACTTTGGCTACATAAACAACTTCTTCTTTTAATTTTATTGGCGGTAAAACTCCCACTACCTAAAATGGCTCGTTCTAACATACTTTGTTTGGCCTTCCAAAAGAGGACGATATCCGCTTCATCATGCCTGGAGCTGATCCGTGCTGGTCGCTGAGGAAAAACATAAACTCCGCGCTGTGGATTGCCGGCCAGCCCGGGTCGTCACGTGTGGTTGCCGCAAGCCCGCCCGTCGCCGCTCACTCAAGCCGGCCTTCGCTCATTCTAGCCGTCGGCCTCTGCTCACTCTAGGCCTCCGCTCACTCTAACCTGCCGTTACACCAAATACACAAAATAATGTTCTTTTTAGCAACATCATATGACCCTTTTAAATCTGCCGCAGATCAGAAAATCACTGAGAACGCGCTATAATCCTGACGAGTCATAGCAACAGAGTGGAGGCGAGAAAGCTGCTGAGAATCCGCTCGCCCGGAAGCAACCGCAACTGGTAGATTTAACAGAAGCTATGATTACATTTTGGTTCTGTTTATTTCCTTCCAACCACTGTAATGGCAATAAAATTGCTAAAAGCTCTACTGTGTACACCGATAAATGATCTGCTGCTCTTTTTAAACTGCCATTTCATAATGCGAAATGAAGAAAGCAGCCCCGGGCCTGTCTCTGGCTGCTTTGATCCATCTGTAAATATGAATAGTTTGTCTTGATAAAGGTCCAGATGAATAATAGCAAGTAGAATATGTAATATCAAGGGTGGAATAATACAGAATAGACAATAAAGAAGAATAAATTAATAGTAAATTATAAAGTAAAATAAATAAAAATAAAATGTAGTTTTATAATAGTATTGTGTAATAATTATTAAACAAAGTAAGACAAAGTAAGAAAGCAGTAAGGGCGGAGAGAGAGTGGGTGGTTTGAATATGACCAGGGTAATTCTGGCCACTCATTCAGGGCTATTCTGGGTTTTAATAAGTAACGTTACTAATACAACATTAGGCTGTGGAAGTATAGCCTACTCTCTTGGAAATGCAGAGAGCAGGCTTTCTTCAGCTTTCTTGTTTGCAATTGGCTAAAAAGGGATATATATATATATATATATAATAAGTCCACAGATTTATGATAAGCTATGAAATCCTTATAATCAAGTGATGATAAACTTACTCTTTGTAAATAATTAACGTTAGTGAAATTAAAGAGAGATGATTTAGCTCCATCCCTAATCCTGACAGTCTGGCATTGTCTTGTCAAAGTGCTCACTGTACATATTGTGCTCATAACACAATTTACTTTTTGATATAAACTACAATATAAAGTTACAACTTTTTCATTTAAACTTTGAAATTCATTTAAACTTTGATTTCATACAAAGTCTCAGCTTTCACAGCTTACAAGCGATATCGCTAACGTTAGCTATTAATAGTCTGACACTGGTGGCTAAGCTGTCAACATA